ATGGACTGCAGCAATGACTATCACCTAGCTGAGTAATTGATGCGGAAATAACTCGATAATACTAACCTAATGCTGAAGCCGGAAGACCGGTATTTCGTTGTTGCGAATCGATCGATTTATAAAAGGACACGGAAATTCCTAAATTATCATCTTCAGGGATGGCTTTCAGTTATCAGACTAAACGATGCAATACAAAATTAATGCTTAAAACCGGAAGGATATTGTTGAGATCTTGATTGATTTATACAAAACTTAAAAGGCGCTCGCACGACTGATAGTTAGTGAAACAATTTGAGAATCAAAAAATGCGCTAAAAAGGCACTCGTATTATTATTTATTATTTCATAATAATATGTCATATGTCAAAATTGGACGCGCGACAAAAGATCGCATAGTAAATAATAGCTTTGCTTCACACTTGTTTTAATTAATATTTTTTTGGTATTTAAATTTGGTAACAGCGCAAATTGTAAAATTCCAATAAGAAACTGTTTTTCATTATAAGTACTATACATATAAGTGTCAGAAACCACCACCAGAATATTTATGAGGAGTTGTACACAACTTCCAATTACAAATTTGAAGCGTGACACTACCAAATTTAAATACTAACAAAATATAAATTTAAAAAAACAATAAAAGATTAAAAGTAAAAACATTAGAAACAAAAAAATAAAAAAAAATAAAAAAAATATTGATGACAAGACAATGACCGCTACTATCATATATCCACCAGTATTTTCACTCCTAGCCCTAAGACTGAATGAAGTGTGAAGGAAGGCCACTACGCGTCCTTTTATCGCGCGTCCAAATTTCATGCGTCCTGATATCCGCGTCTTTTTTTCGCGTGTCCAAATATCCACGTCCTTTTGTTGCGAGACCGCTTTAAAGGTTGCTAAGTACCTAACGTTACTTCAAATTTGACATACAGTGAATTTTTTTTAAATGCGAACATAGGAATTTGTATGCAATGTAATTTCCCTATGTTCGATTTTAAAAAAAACACATCAATCTATTGAGTAGTTCAAATGAGTAGTAGATACAATTGACAGCTGTCACATTTTTAAAAATACCGCCGTCCAATTTAATTACGAAATCGGTTAGGTTAATGCTTAGAATGTCAAGGAGGACACTTCGAACATTTATTGTAATTGTTTTCGTTATTTATTTTCTTATTTTCTGCATTTATGTATTGATCAAATTAGTATTAGTATTAGGTGCACATGACCTACAAATAATTGAAGGTTGGTTCACAATGAGTTGTGGTGTCAGTGCGTGACCTGTGAGGTCAAGTTATCGTAAGTTTAAGAAAAATGTATCCTAAAGTTGCTATGCACTCACATGGCTTATTTAAAAAAATCTTACCGAGTCATAAAGACTATAGAGTTCCTGTTCATAGTCACACAAGTTGCGCGTTTTGGGAATGTGAACCGCGCACACCTCATAGATTGATGTGTTTTTTTTTAAATTGAACATAGGGAAATTACATTGCATGCAAACTCCTATGTTCGCATTTAAAAAAAACTCACTGTATAATTAAACTATAATTTGGAACTGAAAAAAAAAACTCTCCAATCGCTTTCTGCAAATGCAAAGATCGTATCCTTTGCTGGAAGCTTTCACAAACGCACGTAGTTTACAGTAGCTATGCTGCCAAATCTGATCCATTTTTTAATGGCAGTATTGATTAAAGTTTTTAATCAATGCCTCAAAGGGTAGATTTAAATACCTACCTTTTCCTGCATATTACATGTACGATGCATTTAAGACTTTATTTGAAAGATGCTTCCTAATCCACGCCAACAACTTCTCATATTCTTTATATTAGGCATTTGCATTTGAATTTTTCAGGTACCAAAGTGTCTTCTGCTGCTGCAATAAGCCACTGAATGGACAGTGTATTATCTTCTTCCGCAATAAGCAAACGCCCATGGCATTCATGGAAACGAAAAATTAGCCTATTTGGAAGGTATTTGAGTATAATGTCAATATATGATTTTACTTTATTTCCCTCTGACTTTGTTAGGTATGTTGGCACAGATACTCCTTATTAAAAGTAGGGACCTAATTGGGAGGCTATATCTTATAGTCGTACATATAATGATCTAAGGTCTGCATCTACCCATCAAAAAATTAAGGTTACAAATCAGGTTTTGATTTTTGGAGGTCCAGCGGGGTTTTGACACCCTGTAATATTATTTTGCTACAAAATGAGAAATAAAAAAACTTTTGAAAATTTAACTGTTTAATCCCTGGTTTAATCATTTCTTAGTTTATTTATTTATTTCTATTTTTATTTTTGACCTTTATCTTAAAGTGGGCGGTTTTCAGCCAAGATTTAAACCTACCCAGAATTAGAAAACTGATGCGGGTGCAATTGCAACTGCACATATCACTACACTAGAACTGTGATTAGTTCAAATAGATTTAACGAAAACGTTTAGAGCAGTAGTATAGGTTCAAATCGAGGTTCATATAAAACTATTCATGAAAGTTTAAGTTTGGAAATAGAATGGCACTGCAGTATGAAAGATAATAATTCTGAAATTTATGTAGAACCGAGTGAGAGTGAGAGTGCACTTAGAACATCAATGGAAAATTCGAATTTTTAAAAATTTCAGGTAACTTTTTATACTCGTGATTTTTGAGAGTATAAACTTGCGGAACTGTTTGTAGGTGCAAATAGAATTATTAAAAAAAATTTCAATATCAGTTACATAAATGATTAATAGCTCCTTATTTGAAAATTGATTTCGTGGAATAGTCTTGTCGAATGACATTCGATAAAAAAACTTTCTAGTAAAATTTTCGTCATTCAAGTTTATTTTATTTTATTATCCCTCGCTTGTTTTGGGCCCTCAACAGGCATGCGCCCAATTACAGAGTGACCCGCATAATGCTATTTAGAGGTGCCTCTGCAGAAGGTCTTAAGATGGTCTATACTACTCCGGTATTTACCTTACGAATTAGGAAAACTGCAGGAAAACCTAATTCGGAGTAGCCGGTAGAATGCTCGGAACTGGCCTAAGGTAATTTCCATCTCCGCCACAGATGAAAAATTCACCTCAACCCAGGTTCGAACACCCGACCTTCGGATTTATAACCCAATGCTCTTACCACTGAGCCATAAATCCGTAAGTTGGTTGGTTTTTGGGCAATTTTCCTGATGACATTTGTTTTTAAAGGATCACTCACCTTCGCCTTTTAATTTTGTGTCATGACAAGTGCCATTTGCAGAATTGCCAACTAACATGTCACTCTGTGATGTCTTGTTAATGTTGTAATGTAAATTCTTTGATTTTTAGCGCATTTTTGAGAAAAATACGCTATTATATTCGTTATGGCTGTCTGGCTGGCTGTCCGTCTGAGATCTCAGCAATTACAATAGCTAAAGACTTTGCTAATAAAATACTGATCTGCATTACCAAAAATCCGCTTTCATCATGTTTATGCTGATTTACACGTTAACAACTTGTTTCTAAATGTATCCCTCGTAATTTCCTTCGACAAACAACATTACTATGGGGAAGAACGTATCCATGGGTCAACGAAAAAATTACAGGATGAAAACGATACAACTTTAATCTGAAATCTGGCATAATTAGTCATTGCTAAATAAATACTTGCAACCAATAATGCCAGATTTTGTTATAAAAAATAGTGTTCATTATTTACGTGAAATTTGCAATGAAATTTTGTGTAGGTTTTTGCGCACTTACGTGAAAATTGTGTATAACACCTTTCTGTATTTTGTAAATAAAAATATTGATCTTCTTTTGATAGCTTTATAAACCATTATGTATGTCATACAGTTTCAACCTTTTTAATTAATTGATTTTACCGTAATACGGAATTTACAATAAGTCTACAGTGAAAATTTCCATACTATTCTTCTTTGCTTTCCAATTTTAGCGACAGTGCAGAATGGAAAAATAGGTATCTATTTGTTTTGCGGGACAATTATTGAAGTAGGTAACCGATAAAGCTTTTGCGTTTATACACGAGACAATTTCGCAAAAAATTATACCGTTTTGCAATTACTTTATGGCATATCGACCGCGATTTTAATTATTACGGCAGAACTAATGGTTACGTAACGTATTCCTGATAAATTAATACTCTGCGGTGTATGTATTTATAGGATTCGCAAATCAGATAATGGTAGTGTTTATGTCAGTTTTTTGTTCGTTTATTTCACGCGCTCAATTGAGTGCGTTATATAACGAACCCGGCGCAGTAACGGCGCCAATAGACGGGTGATTATATTGAAATACTGTCGCCTAAAACGAAATATCTGTGGTGATATATGTTTGCCACCCCACTCACATAAAATAGGCTATTTATTTGATAGGGATGCTGAAATGATTGTTATGTTAATGTATCGCAAAGTAAATCTTTAACTACCAATTATAGTGTGTTTGAGTTACGGCATTACCTTAGGTACCTTACGAAGGTATGGTTACGTGAGAACAATTTATTTCGTCATAATTAAGAATGGCGAGGTGATGTTTAAATTTGTCGTCGAACGGATAAAAATGTAAAACGTTTGCGTTAATGGAATATTTGGAGGGACGATAAGCTAACACCAAAATAAATGGCTGCCTCCTAAATCTTTAAATTTAATCCTTGTTTATTCACTTTGCAAACAGCGTAACAGGTACGCAAATTAGATTTATTCTTAAACATACAGGGCTTCTTTTAGCATTCAATATATAAGAATTTAATTAAAGTTTTACACTTGATGGGTTAAAATTCCGGCACGTGAAGGTATTTAAAATTTGGGTAAGGGATTAACGGAAGAAAAGGGTTACAGCTACCGTTCGAGCTGTTTTTCAAATTCTTTAGAAATATCGTTCTTGATTTATGACTTTTCGTTAACTTTCAGATAACACAACATTCCATTATGTGCAGCTTTTATAGTCGCACGACGCTAGGGTTGTATTTTAAATGATTTTCCTGCCGGCGATTTTAATAATTTCTATAAAGTGGCGTTTACTCACCCATTTTGATCTTGCATCGATGGCTGCATCCACGCTCGCGTGGTGGTGAGCGGTTCCTCTTTAAGGCTGGGACCACGTGGTTGGTGATGGTGGTGTAGGCCCGCCGCATCTTGATGGTGATGCAATCCAAACATGAGTCCAGGTCCGGGTACTCGTGGACCGCCGGTGCCAGGATAAAGTTTGCGTCCCCAGGCGGCGGCTACCGGGTCCAGATCAGGCGCCGGCAGTGATAAGGCCGGCCAAGGAGACGCCGTCGGATAACCGCGCTCCGCGGGGTTGCTCTCGTCGGACCGCGTCTTGGCGGCTGTCTTCTTGACGCCGGGGATAATGTCTTATATATACTTTTAATTTGTATCGCTTATTAAATGACAAGTGCACAACCACGAATCATTTACGAAGCCACTTCAATTTCTCGTTTCGATATCACAAATTTAAAGTACCTACTAAATGTTTGATAATTTTAACACTCACAATATCATACTCCCGAAAGATAGATGACAGTTGGGCCAGAGGCTCGCGAGAGACCACTTGTGCGCGAAGCCAACAAGCGGATAAACACGACTGGGACGCTGATAAGCATCGAATGGTCGACTAGCAATTTGACGGTTTGCGACCTCTCGGGGGTGGAGAGGTGGATGTTCTGTTGCTCGCAAATATTACAGTACAGAAGCGGTCGCTGAGTTTCCTCCCCAGGGTTGATTCCCGCCACACCTCCAGAGACCGACGGCTCTGGAAAGACGCCAAGCGTCGGTCGGTATGAATCGTATCGAGTGAGGGTGGAAGGCTGCTCCCGACGCTCAACCCTAGCGATTGTAACCAACCGCAAGAGACACGGATCTTCTCCGGCATCCAATGAAAGTGCGTTATATCAGGTTTGGGTACACCCCACGGTGTCATAGCATTATCAACTACTTTCTCAACGGAGAAGGGATAGGACTCACCGGGGTTGCGCGGCTCCAGAAGGGCAGCTTCCCGCTGTGCTGGCCTCTGGCGTTGCAACACTCAAGCACATATTTATCCCGCGAATACAGGGTGCAGTAGCTACGATTGTTGTGGACGTTTTGCTGGGCGCCACACCGTTTGAGAAACCGCAAACAGGTGCTAGCGCGGTCGAAATGTTTGGCTAATTTGACATTCAAACTTTCGGGATCTTTTGCGTACTTGTCGGAAAAACGTTTACGAGATTTTATTAAAATATACGCAATTGAAGATGCAGAATTATTCCACTAACTTGTTTGACCACTCTGTTTGTGTTAACGTTAAAATAATGATTTTTATCTACACATTGTAAAGGCATCATCCTTTGATTACTAATTGAACGCCACGAAACCTTATTAAGGAGTTGCTAAGAGAATTACACAAAAAATTGTATTCAGTTTATAGACCTGTAATAAGTAATACAAGTGCTGATATTTAATTGTTCAGTTTTCCATTAATTTTGCGTTCAATTAAAATAAGCTTATGGAGTTATATGAATAAATTATACTTATCCTACTCTAACAAATTTACCAATTAATGATATTTCATGTTTTTAATTCAACAAAACTCTCACAAAATACCATTCTTCTGGAACTTTTCATTCGTAACACACCATTAATGAAATTGATAGCGATGTTAAAGGACCGGTGCCATAAAATAGTTATACCTACTTCTGCTAATCACTTTTAAATTATTTGAAAAAAGACAAAGCATTACAGCATTTTTGTAAACTTCTCCTAATTCAATTAGTAAAATGAATACCTTTTTTTGAAATTTCGAATTTATCTCGGCAAGAATACAGCCAACGGTCGCAGTGACCCGTTCGAAACGTTAGAAAATACTTTATGTACGAATCAGGACAGTTTTGTTACTTTTAAACTGCATTATTAATTGCAATTCGACGTTTCGTTCCGTCAAAAAAATATCGTATTAAGGTTCGTGTAGTTCTAAAGTGTTTACTAAAACTTTGTGCCGTTTCACATAAATTTAGTTATTCAAATTTGTAGAATGGAATTCCGACACGCCTGTATAGGTACTCAAACTACTCAACGTGTTAAAATTTTAAATCTTTTTGTACCTTCATTTTGTGCTTGTTCTTTTGCCATATCATCAATATTTTGTGCTCTTTTGGTTTTCGAGTTATTTGCAAATCTCTCCCCACGCGCGTACTCGCGATGTTGTGAGGTTAGCTATTTTCTCTAAACTTTGTGCACAGTTCGGAACTATATCACAGGGACCAATGATGATCACTACGGCTAACTGGGATTTTGGCCTATAATGACTAATTTCTAATTTCATCCAATTTGGAATTTGATACCTACTTATTTTATTGTAATCTCTGAATTAACCATGAACAAACACGCCGCAGAGGTTAGGTATAATAAATGAAGCTTTATTAAATAGAAAAACTAACGATTTAAACTTACTCTTCTACAGTCTGATTTGTTGTTAATTTATGTTCACAAATAGGCAAATGGTATTACATGCTGATATCAGTCCATCAGAAAATTTTGTATCGCGAATGTATCAAGTAGCTACATTTCTTAAGCTATCACCCACTAGACACCGATTGTACTAATAATTTCTTCGCATTTCATACAGAAATGTCCTCCTACATTAATGCATTTTACTTCGTTTGTCCATTTTAGTTTTTTTGTTCGACAATTGACGCAATTTGCGTTCGCTATTCATATATCTTTATCGAGAGCAGCTATCGGGAAGACTGACTGCAGAAATCTTGGAAAAGTTAGTATACTTTACCGTAACTGAGATTGATGACCGACCGCCCCAAAACAAATATTCTATCATGTTTTTCGAACTGCGTAGGGTCTTCCGTCGTGTGTAAGTTGGTAAAAAAAAAAGTAAAAAACGATATAGGTTTGTAGTGGCGCCCACCACAGAATTTTTTATTTTTATTCGTGCGACCCAGGGTGCGACCTAATATGTATCAACTCGTACATCTCGAGTAGGTACCCTTAAATTGCTAGCAAATTTAAAAAAATGTGACATCTATCTTAAAACCTTTTAATTATTTTTGTCCTGATAAACATGATTCATTAGAAAAATGTTATGAAGCTTGATTGTACACTCGGCGTTGATGATTGCAAATCAGTAAACGAAATCTGGTTTTAACACTACTTGCGGTGTGTTGTACCGGAGAAGCAATCAAAAGAGCAATTTACGTTTTAATTTAAAATATTGAGAATACTAGGTGTAGTACAGTAAAGGCATTATCTACATATTCGAAAAACTTGACAGTTTGTCAAAACTGTAGGGGTTGATTTCTCAATAAATTTGATTTGATTAGTAGAACATTAGGTATTCATAAATGTGATCCTAACTACGAGTATTTTTGGTCTTTCGTTCGAAAACAAAAATCCATTGCTGATCTGCCATCCACAATGTTTTATGGTACTTCCAAATCAGAGCTGTGGAAATGATATCGTGAACTTGTTTGGCAGACTACTTGAGTTCCGTATGTACATACACGCGCTACAGCCACAAACAATGTTCTAAACTCTGTTAGTACGTCCTGCATAAGTATAAGTACCTAATCTAAAAATTACTAACAAAATTATCCTGTCAAAGATAAATGGATTAAGGGTTAGTCTGTCCTCAGGCCCTGATGGTATTCCCTCTTACCTGTTGAAACAATGTCAATTTCCTCTTCTCGGTCCTCTTCAAATATTGTTTACTAGATCTCTTAGTGAAGGGTTTTTCCCTGACATTTGGAAATTCAGTTATATGATTTGATTACTATCTACAAAACCAAGAATAAAGCGGATATGTCCAATCATAGGGCTATATCGATTATGTCAGTAATACCAAAATTGTTCGAAGGTATTATAACAAATACTTTATTTCCATTACTTAAAAGCACTATAATTGACGAACAACATGGTTTTTTCTCTAGTCGTTCCACAAACACCAACCTTTTAACTAATCAGCATTATATTCTTAGTTGTTTTGATGAAAATACGCAATTAGATTCCATATATTTTGACTTCTCTTAAGGCATTTGATAGAGTAAACCATAACATCTTGTTATCTAAACTTTCTCTCGTTGGTTTATGTGATCCAATATTGTCATCGCTTCGTTCTTATCTCACAAACAGAATTCCTCGCAGAATTCAAATGGTGAAATATAAAAACTTCATATCTAAACCAATATATGTTTAATTGTTCCTAAGTTTGGTCTCCCTATATTCCATTCCTATTTCAAAACTGGAAAGGGTGCAGCACAAATTTCTTCGTTTCTTCAGGTTTAGGTAACGTCTGAATTCATTTGCATACCATTCTTACCTCTCCGTTCTTAAGGTATTAAGCATTAATACTTGCTTGCTCGTCGTCAGTTTCTCGATTTTGTCTTTTTTTTATAAACTTCTAAAGGGTTGTATTCATTCGTCACAATTGGTGCAATTGATAACATTTAATATTCCTGGAAGAACTCTTCGGTTTGGTCAATCTTTTAGTATATTTACAACACTCCCCGATTATAAGAATGATACGTTTCGTAAACTCCTATCCGCAAATTGAAATAATGGGTGTTAGTTTATCTGAACTTTGTTGTTACTAAATGATGTCGACAAATCATACTACCAATGTTAGTTTAGTTAGTTTATTACTGCTCACTGTATTTATTTTTAATTTCCTTTTTCCAGTAATTTAAGCATAATTACCTTCTGTATATGTGAATTGTACACAAAACTTTAATTTTTTGGGGCTTCTCCCGTAAGACTTAATAAATAAATAAATAAATAAGTAAACCGTGAAGATAGATAGATATATAGATCGATAGATCTTTATTGTGCAGAACGTATCTGTGCAGTTACACTCGTCGCCAATTAATATGAATAATAATATACCTATAATGAAAACATGTCATGATGTAAATGAAACCGGTTTTTGGGTACGTCGTTTAGTTTCAATAATTTTGTTTCTTTATTTTGGATGCCGCGGAGATGTGTATAATCGAGATCATTTCGGTCAACACTAGGGCTATTTAGTTACCAGTGCACATTCGATATAATGTCCCTTCGGCATCGTGAGATTTGTTAGTACGGCATTTTGTGGATGGTCATTAGTTCGATCAGGACCATAGCCAGGGTAAAGTAGTAGAGGCAGCCAACAGTTTTCCAGGTGGTGCTTAAAAAACAAGATACGATGAATTGCGTACGGTTTTCAGTAGGTAAGGGAATTTATTTACACTCAACTCACATTCGGAACCACGACTTTTAATCCGGCTCATAATCAATAGCACTGATCCTTGAAGTCGTAGAAGTCGATTGCCGAAAGTTTAACATCACTGTCTCTTAGTTCTCAAGTTAGACGAGGAACAGAGGGAATTCGATTTTTCAAATTTTTGAATTTACTGAGTACCCTCTGCAAATTAGCTTTTTATGTTCTCTCTTTCTCAAAGAGTCGCAATGACAAATTTAAATATATCGCCCCCAACCCGTAAGACCACATACATGGCACAATGAACTGGACAACAACAAACGAAATAATTAAATAGGTATAGTAGTAGTGCTTTCGTCGCTAAAGGCTATTAACAAAACCCTACTAGCCTATTAACTAGGTCAAAGGCAAACTCATTAAACGCGGCAGTATACTGCTCAAAATTTTAACGTCTTAGTTTGCTGCCCGTGAAACTAAAAAGGAGTTTGGACGCTGTTTCCGTAGGGAATCAATCAATCTTTATTTAGCCACCAGTTTGGAAAAACTTTTTACAAATTAAAGAAAAAAATAAAAGTAAGATTCATCAAGAATGGAAACATGTCCTTCTATTCTGTCATGCTGTGTCAGGATGTGATACCACATCCAGTCTATTCAGAAAAGGGAA